TGTGGTTCATCCAAGTCAATTCTCAATTCGCCACTCGGCGAATTACAGCGGAAATGACGAAGTTACACTACGTCGTGTCCAGCAACTCTCGAACCATAGTAACAAAGGTGTAGAATGCGCTGCTCACACCACCAGCTGTCGATTTCTCAAACACGCTAAAGGCACAGCTGATCCGCCGGACAAGCGCCTCAGAGGAGAAACGCCTACAGCAACTCTTGACCACAGAACTTGGGGACCGGACTCAAACGCAGCTCTTGAGTCGGATCGAGCAGCTCCTCGGGGACAAAACAGCAACCATCGACGAGTCCCTCCTTCGTGAGCTCTTCCTTGCAACAGCTGCCGAGAAACATACGGATGGTGCTCGCATCGGCGGGGGATGTCGGCCTCGACAAGATCGCCGAGCTCGCGGACAAGATAATCGAGGTCGCGAAGTCGTCGCCCAACATCTCAGCGGTCCACATCCAATCCAGTTCAAACTAGGTGTGTGAACTCCGTGCCGAAATCGCTCGTATCGCTGACCTTGTGGCGAAGCTTCAAGATTCTTGCGGCCGCCGCACATCCCGCGGTCGTTCTCCCGCCCACCGCCAGCCTCGCTCCTCCTCCCGTACGGACTCTGGCTACGTTTACATGAATGCGATCGTAGCGCATCGAATCGAGCAGGGACCAACGACACGCAGCCTGTCCTCTTACTTCTTCCTCTTCTACCCGACTGCTACCAATCGAAATCGCGAAATCTCGACTCGATGCGCTACGGTCGCATCTATGTAAATGCAGCCTCTGACTAGTGCTGGTACCATCGACGTTTTGGCGCCGATGCTGGCAAATGCGAGCCCCCTTGCACTCAAGCGGAAAACACCAAGGCCGAGCACTGATGGAGGCAAGTGCTCCCGCCGATCCCTGCATTCGCCGATCTTCGTTTTTTGTGACGAATCGCTACTCTGGTGCTCGCTTCCTCGTGGACACCGGGCCGAGGTTAGTAGAGAGCTTTAGGGAACCGGAACAAAATACGATCGATAAACAAAAACGATCGTTACCTTGAATCGGGCGTGTGGACCGATCGTGTGCCTTGGAACGGCTTTGGGGGAACCGTATTTGCAGACGATAGCAGACGATCGGTACAGGTCGCGCCCCCTGGCAACGGAATACTGCATCCGCCTCATCGAGAAAATACAAATTTGCTTGTTTGTACAAATCGCAGAAACTCAAGTAAAGATAGCACCCCAAATATATAGAGAACCTAAAACATTGCATACCTATTTATAGTTCGTCTCGTTTTTTTACTGGAATGAATGCGCTTGCGTAATACAAAACCTGGCGCACCAGGGCGTGTCGCCGCTGGCACTGCGAAGCTCTAAAATGTTCGCCTGCTGAAGAAGCAGACGAGCTTTCCGACAAGAATGGCACTCGATCTTTTTGACAGTGACTTGGAGTTGGCTCTATTCGGCGAAAACAATTTAGAAAAAGTTATTTTGTACGACTGTCTGTGCACTAGGAGTAGGCGCTTGTTGGCGGCAAGGTATGGGACGTTCAATCTGGCGTAGCTTTTAAGTAATAAAAGAAGTTGTGATACCACGAATGATGTGCGGATACAACGAATAATGTGCCACCATATTTTTTTTTTCTTTTAGTTGACCACATTTATATATTCGGGGAATAAAATAATGCCTCGACCGTACATGGTAACTTGTTTTCTAATAAGTCATGCGTTCTCAGCGGGCAAGCTTTGGTGTTTTGCAATAACCATATATGATGTTTACACCAACCACGTCCTGATATGCAGAAACGTTGCCGACAGCAAACTCGATCTGGCACAAGAACACGCTCGCGCGCGCTTATCATCAACATTCGAGGTCGTCTGCTAGCGATCCTGTCTCTTTCCCTCGAGGCCCACTGCAGGGTCGAGTATTAAGAAAGCTATGGACAAATAAAACTAGAAATATTGAATCGCGAAGAAAATACAAAAATAACCAAAATATACTCACTTTCTCAAGTTGATGCGGTCATTTTTCTTGTACAAAGTTACGAGGAGGTCAATCCATTCCTTCGCTCCTCGCAACGAGAAGTTCTTTTTCGACGCTGCGTTTAAGCATTTAAGGACGTCATTCCAAAGAGCTGGAGTAAATAAAGAGTGGCGCCTAGCACCTCCCGAAGTAGAAAGATGCTGTCGTCTGCTGTAAACCGCTTGCGAAAAGGAGGCGGAGGGACGGAGGTAGATGCGGCGCTCATGTTGCTCTTTTACGGTACAGATAGCAGACGATCACGGTCGTACGCCCGCGTACCGATCGTTGCGTCGTGTACGGTACGACCACGAAGAAAATATAAAGGAAAACCTGTAACTTTACTGCTGTGCACTTATTAAATACATCACCTAATATTCGAAGGGCTTGTTTTATAGGATATGTGTGATTAGCATTTGTACAGAAATTTTTAATTCATGCAACATTTTTAAACTGAAAAGTATCCAGAGCCTTGATGCAGAAGGCTGTTGCTCATTGTGTTGCCACTACAGATAATCCTCAGTCATAACACCAGCTGGGAAAAACGGTGATAAGTGCTCGAAATGCACATCCAATGTTTGTATAAAAAAAAAAACTTATGATATGAAAAAAAAAAAAAAGAGGTGCACGGGCCAACGGGTTCGAACCCTCCATTACCGCTTCCCTACGAGCTCAAGAAATAGGCACTCCAATCCACTGAGCTACTGATCAGACGATTTTTGGCTTTGCTAAACGTTTATCTATTTCTATTGAAAAAGTTTTATTGCGTTTTGTTCTTTATTCTTTTTCTTATTTGCTGACTCAAACTTTATGGACTTGCTGTCACACATGGCGCTCCTGCCAGGCACTGCCACGAGTTATTTTCTTCATGTTTGGAGCCACGGCACGCTCTCTCCGCCAGCGGAAGAGCCGTTTTGCTAACCAAGCGAGACTGTCCATGTGGGCCATTGGTCGTGCCGGTCGTGCCTTACGGTTTGACCAGCGCATTACGGTAAGATCGCAGAAGACAAGCGCATGCGCAGTTCGTACCGGAGGGCCCATCGTACCGTATCGGATGCGCAAAAACGGTTCCCTAAAACTCTCTATTGTCATCTCCGCAACCGTACAAGTAAACCGGTACCCCAGCACGTCGCAGCAACAACGCGGCCATTTCGACGCTCGGTGCGCGTTCCCTGGCACACGATATCGGACTACGGAGCACTTTTTGCTGGGTTTTCATCTGCGCGGCGATTTCGCACGCAATTCTAGGCGACTATACTGCCGAGTGCGCATGGATAAGGCAGTTCGTGGATGAAAGTGGGGTTTGCCTTCTAACGGCGCGTGTAAAAGTAAGGGTACCGTTGGTGCTGTGCGCAGTGGCGGCGGTGTGTCGAAACCTTCCGGGGTTCAAGACTTTTTTGTTCTTAAATCGGTCAGACGCAATGCTGAGGGCGAAGGGTTCGAGCTTTTCGGAGGTCACCGCTCAGTCACTAGCCACCACCTAGGTGCGCGAGCATGCAGCATTGCCGGAGACCGCGGACAGAGGTAAGATGGAACGTGCTAAAACATCCCGCAAAGTCGGGGCAGGCGTCCTATCCGAGCCAGGTGTACTAGAGACGCGGCCTTGCGGGGGTGTCATCCATGACGCCGCGAAATGGAGTATCAAAGCGAGTGGCGCGATGCTTGGGGCGGGGGACTACTGTTTTCACACCGCGAAAGGGTTTTTCTAGCGCACCACGGACTGTTAAGAAATCGAGGTTGGCCGAAAAGGAAGGTGGCCCAGCTTTGAAAGCTAGGAAATTGCGGTGAAATAATGTGGCGTTACAACGTTGCTCAGAGGTTGTGCCTTCCCACCCTGGTGACTCGAACGGAGTAGAAACAATTCTGCGGGTTCATAATCAGGCGGGGAATATGCCGAGCGAGCATATTCTTTGTTTGGCTTATGAAACTGCGCGCGTGTCTTTTCAGGAGGTGTATCAAAAGGGGGTATCGAATTCATGTTTCCGACGACGGGTCCCGACTCTCGCGTTTCGGAGTAAACTCGCGAGGGAGCCGGGGTCGGGCAGGCAAGAGCTAGATAATAGTTCGACTTCGTCGCGGGTTCAGACGGGCCTCGCAAACTGCTCTTAGCATTTTAGGGAAGTTCAAAAGTTTTGCGTTTCGTGTTGTTGCGTTGCCACTTAATGGTATTTTGTTCGGCTACAGCACCTGCACTGGTTGAGAGCTTTTCTGAACAAAATTTTGACGCCAAGTGCTCCATGAATGAAAGGAGTGCTTTATATTTGATGGAAATTTTATTTATGTAAAATGTATCTATAGTTTAAAGGATCCCTTGAGTGACCGTTTTTTTTTTCAATTTTAGCAGTGTATGTTAAAGAGACAAAATATGTGGTATATTTATAACAATCTGGCGGATTCCAGGGTTGGCTGCGCACTTGCAGTCCTGCGACCTTAGCGAATCTGTGGCCAGACCGCCGTTTGTCTCATCTAGCCCACTGACGATCTCCCTTCAAAATGTGACTGCTGCAATTCAAGAGAGACACTCGGCGAGCGACGATGGTTCTTCGGATTACAACGTGGGTTGCAACCGTTTGGGTCTAGGAGAACTCGTCACAAGCCAACTCGTCACAGCCAACTCGTCATAGGGGAACTGGTCACAGCGGGCATCTCGTCATAGGCCATCTCGTGCACGGGGAACTCGTAACGGCGGAGAACTCGACTTTCGTCAAAATTTGTTTGTCGCAGGATGCGCCTCCGAGGCTTCAATTTTATAATAGGTGGTATTGGACTTAGGGCTCCCTGTTCAGCCCCATCTGGCTATTCGCTTCTGTTCAAGCAAATGGGGTCTGCATGGCTGACGAGTATACCAATTTGACTGCACCTTTCCGGAGACGTGTTGTATTTAATGCGCACAAAGCAGCAGGGATTTTGAACATGACAAAAACCATAAAAACATCAATCAAAACTTCGTTTATTTGCAAAACGTGACAAGTGGTTTTCTAAGAAGGAATGTCCCGAGTTGACTTACAGCCGTACATTGCGTGCGATGCATCTCAGTGTCGAGAGCGGCCGAGCTGCGTCGTGATCGTACAAGATTCGTGAAATGCGCTCATTGAGTACCCGGTACTTCGCGGCCATGCCGGAGGGAGGTTGACTAGCGTCCAGCTGCGCGATCTTCATTTCTTGCAAAGACTGCTCTCTCTGCAGGCATCCAAGGAATGACCATAGGTTAGGCCTGCTGCAGTTGATGTTTGGAAAGAGTCGGTGGTGAGCGGCTAAAGCCCAACAAATAAAAAAGGTTGCTCAGCGTATAGCAATGGCACAAACCTGGAAGCTGCGGTGCCAAGCTTCGGCGGCGTTGTTTGTGCGCGGAAGGCCCTCCAGAACAGATGCGTGGACAGACCAGACACTTGTCGGGAACATAGCAGACAACAATCCGTTCCGTCGACGACGTCCGATGTACGTGTCTTCGAAGTAGAGTGCAATAGGCATCGCGTCCGTTGAAAACAATGCCACGAGGTCCTCGAAGGCATCTGGAACCTCTGCAGGTGGCAGAAATGCCAAGGCAGGCAGCGTCCTCACCTGCGATTGCGTACGAATTTTAATATATTCATTAGTATAGCAATCATACCACGCAGTCGAACTTACCAAAACCGCGAAATCTTCGTCTGTTCCGTAGCATGTCTGGAAGCCAAGCTTGCACAGTTTGCGATACACGGCCTGGCATAGGTGGAAGAAACAGCCTTGAACACGCGCTTGCGGGAAAATGTTGCCAGTGGCGATGATAGCGGCGGACTCAAAGTCACAATACACCAGTTCCACCGCAGGCTGTGTCAGAAGACTTGAAAGTACTGTAAAAAGCCTGAAAAAGTGTCGGCAATATTAATCAGCCACATGATTTTACAGAGTTCCAATTTCAGAACTAGTCCTAGTACAAATCATACCTTTGATAGGTCTCTTCGGTCTTGTTTGGCAGGAGAGCGTACACCAAAGGAATGACCGCGTCTTTGTACATTCCATGCACGGTGTACACTTGGAAAAAAATGGATGGCGTAACTTTAAACGTTCCGTCCATAAACCAAGCTTTTTTCTTTTTTCTTTCTATATGTATATATACCTTCAAGCTAGAGTTTTACCGAGTGCACGCTTCGCTTTCCCGAATTTGAAGCGATATAAAAAAAAAAAAAAGCACTTTTTCCTTTTGAACCTTATCACCCCCTCACAAAAGTCTTCCCTCTAAAAACAATGAAAAATAGGGGTCACTGGGAAAGACTTCCTTCTTTTGAATCTTTGCATCCCCCTTAGAAAAATCTGCCCTCTAAAAGGAACTGTGAAAAGTGCTTACAATGAAAAAGTTGGGTCACGGTGAAAGACAATACACCCTTGTGGGTTTATCGAACAAGATAAAAAAATAAGTAAGAAATGTGACGAACGAACTGAAAGCATTTGACGACTTTTTCTGTGACGAGAAGGTCATTGCGACCACTTCCCCTCTTACGAGTTCACCTAGTACAAGATGCCCTCTTTGACCAGTTGACCTATGACAAGTTTTCCTGTGACAAGTTGGCTGTGACGAGTGGACCTGTTCCCCAACCGTTTCGACCTCTCTTTGTCCGCCTAGCGAGCGGGTTCGACTTCATGGCTGCGCCAACGACCACCCACCGAGTGACCAGAGTCTCGGACTTGGCATCCGGGAGCTGCACAGCATGCCGGCCGACTCGGCGGGGGTGGGGTGCCGCTTCCGGCTGACGCCAGCGTGTCGCCCGACACAGCAGACACAGCAGATACAGCGGGAGCTGACTCCCGCTGTGTCTGCCCCCGATCTCCCGCTCAAACCCGGGGAACCGCTTTCTCGGAATTCAGTTCGAGTGCTGACGGACGATGGACATAGGTTAAGACGTTTGGGTCTCGGTGTATGAGTGGGAAAGCGGCTCTGTTCCCGCGTTCTTCGGGAAACGGGACGAGAGAGATGCCTTGGCAGGGGTGTCACCAACTGGGAGGTTTGTGTCCGGCATGACTGCGGAGACGTCCCGCAACAAGAGTGCTCTTTCCACTTGCGGGTCCTTGGACAGGGAGCTCCTCGTCACTTCAAGGGGCTACATTAGCCGGTGCTCGGACTTCTAAAGACATTTCTCTTTTGAAAAACCTGAACCGCAACATCACGCTGTAAATATTCCCGTGTATAAACGTCTTCTTCCCTTCGCAGACGCTCCTTAGCCTCTTCAAAGTCATCCGCGCTCGGATGTGAGGGGATGCTTGGCACGGAATCATATTACAATCAAGGTGCAGGTAATCCAAGAGTCACCCCAGTCATCAACCAAGGAGTAACTCTGGGAGTTTCTCGGCATGAGAAACGTTTTCCCGTGCTGCGTAGAAAAACTCCACCCGCTGCACGGCATGCTTTCGGGTGCAAGGAACTCCAAAGCCGAGCTGGACGAGCGCACTACATCGGCTTTCGATCGTGCCTGAGAACTTCTCATCACAACGACCATGCTTGTGCATCCCAAGAAAGCAGTCTTACTTTCGGTGGCCATCGACGCTTCGGACAACGCTATCTGCGCTGTGATTCAATAGGAAGTACACAGATAGTGGCAGCCGCTTCCGTTTTTCCCCGGAAGCTAACTTCCACCAAGCAGTGTTACACTAACTTTAGCCGCAAGTTACTGGGGGTGTACTTGGCCTTGCGGCATGTCAGGTCCTATCATCAAGGTGGACAATTTTATTTGTGTTGACCGACCACAGGCCCCTTGTTCACGCCTTTCGTTCCCTGTGACCCAACGGTGGAAGGAAACTTTCTCAACGAGAGCTGCGACAAATATCACGTGTCTCAGAATTTACATCGGCCATCCGGCACGTACATGAAACAGAGAGCGTCGTGGCTGATGCTCTGTCCCGAATGGGCACCTGCACCAGCGAAACACTGGCTGTCGTCGATTTTGTAAAACTGGTAGCTGCATAGCGAAAGGACGACCTCCGTCCAACACCCAGCCGGTTTGTATTCCGTGATATTCCTCTACCTATGCACCCCATCGATCTAATACGCGACATATTTACTAGGTCGCCGCGCCCCTACTTGCCACTACAGTTTCGCCGCCAGATCTTCGATACCCTTCACGGACTTTCTCAGACCGGAATCAAGGCTGCCCGACACCTTATAACATCTCGCTTCGTGCGACATAGCATTAACAAAGATGTTCGACACTGGGCCCGCACATGCCTACTGTGTCAGCGCTGCAAGATTCAGCATCACACGGTCACACCCCTGGAAACCTTCGATCCACCTGAGATTCACTGTTCGACCACATCCACATAGATATCGTCGGACCGCTGCCACCTTTTCAGGGAAATGTTTACCTTTTGACTTGCATAGACCATTTCACTCACGAGCTGGAAGTCGTCCCTCTGCCCAAGATCACCGCGGAAACAGTGGCGTATGCTCTTGTTACCTACTGGATTTCGTGGTTCGGCAAGCATTCCACTGTCTCCACAGGCCTGGGCTGGCAGTTTGAGTTCAGTCTCTCCTCCGGCTTCACCAAGCTACATGTATCGGTGTATTAGCACTACTGCTTACCATCCCGCCATCAATAGCATGGTAAAACGCTTTCATCGCCAGCTTAAAGCCGCCCTCGAGGCCCACCAACGTCAAGATAGGATGAAAATTCTGCCCCTCGTTCTTCTCAGCAATCGGACATCCTCAAAATCCGATCTCGCTTGCAGGGTTGCGGAGTTGTTCTAGAGGACAACGCTTCGCCTCCCCGGCAAATTCTTCACATCCACGCAAGGCGACACCTGTCTGGACTTCACCAACTACATGATCCAACTACGGGAGGCCATGACAAATATTCGTGTCACTGCACCCAGCTAAAACCTCAGGTAATCCACCTACATTAGCCAGGACTTGGCCACCTGCACATGTGTCTTTCTGTGGAAAGGCGCAATGCGGAAGACCCTGCAACCGCCCTTCGACGGGCCACTTATGGTGTGAATACGAGGTTTAAAAAGAACACCACACTTGCGATTCGTGGGTGCAACAAGGTCGTCGCGTTGGACCGCGTCAAACCAGCTTATTTGGATAGCGTGCCAACTGACACTCCTGCAACTATACCACCCCACCCGGAAGTGCCGCCTAAACAAACAGTGCTCGAGCCGAACTCTCCTCCTCCTCCACCCGTCCACCCACAGTTCATCGCCCCGAACGTCCAGCAATCGGAAATCCAGACACGCACCGGCCGCCACGTGCACTGGGCACAGCGCCTGGGACATGCAGCTCTTGCGACACCCGCCACACCCTTCACTCGCTCACTTACTGCGAGATGAAAGTATAGGCTCAGATAACACCATTCTGCAAACGTTCACCTACTTTCTGGGGAGGGAGTACTGTCGCGACGCACACACCAACCTAAAACGGCTCCCGAGAGATCGCCTCTCCGCTCGACTCGATAGGCTTCTTAGAGCACAGGGTTACGATACCGGGTTCAAGTGCCCCGTCGTCGGTTGAACACTGCGGCTCCCTTGCGTCAGTTCCGCGCAGTATCCGGATTGCATAAAATAGGATAACAACCCCATAGCCAGCGGCGTAGACTTTCCATTTTCCCGGGGGAGGCGGCCGGCTGAGAGGTTCTCCGGGGGGGGGGGGGGGGGTATGCTTTTCCGCGCAATTGTTTTGACACCGGCAATTATCAGTAGTTTATTTTTTGGGGGGAGGGGGGGGGGGTCATTTTACAGCGTACTAGGAGCTCGTTACATGGCATTTAAACAGCGTCTGGGTAAGGATCATGGCCCCGGGGGGCTCTGCCCCCCCCCCCCCCCGGATGTCACCAGGGGGGGGGGGGGCACGAGCCCCGATGTCTCCCCGTAGTCTACGCCTATGCTCATGGCTCACAACGGCAGCCCGGATACTGCTCCATCAACTGGCTGTCGTATTGCCTCGCGATTTCACCAGTTCACGCCACCGCGAGGTAAACCTAAGCACGAAGGTAAAAGAGACTACGGCGCAAGGTCATCAGGAAGACTGCAATGAAAGACTTCATAAAAGAACGGCATTACACTACAAAGACTGCTCCTTGTCTTAGTATCTTTCTTAACTAAATAAAACTCGTGTTTTTACTAACCGTTCCAGACCAATTTTTACCTTCAAGTCTGGAACAATCAAAGACGCTACACCTCCATCACCGGAACGATTGGAGTCGTCCACCTTCTCCCCACCAAAGGAGTGATTATGTGATTTTTTTCAAGAGGATCGAGCTCAATTTTCTTCGATATTTTGCGGAAGAGCTAATGGAACTGGCCTTGGTCTGAGAAACTTGCGCATCATACGGCAACCGCTGGCCGCTCTTACCCAATTTTCAATATATATATATATATATATATATATATATATATATATATATATATATATATATATATATATTTTCCCAATTTTCAATTGGGAAAATACCCAATTTTCAATATATATATATATATATATATAACGGCCGTGGTTCGGAATGCGCGGCCTAGTTGCTATTAGCTCCAACCTGTTCGTGAAGCATAGGAGAGCGCCTGGCTTAGGAGGCTCTGCCCTTCACTCTCTCCCGGGGGGACATTTTCCCGTCCCTCAGCTCGTTCAGGAACCTATACGTGGCTTGCATATGACGTCATTTCCGATGCCCTCCAGAGAAAAGGGGAAGGAGGAGCTCCCCTCTTAGCAGGATCCTCCTTTGTGCCTCCCGGATTTGCACAGGCGTCGCTATTCTCCTCCCAGAGGATTATAGAAGATTAACCTGTCACTCAAAATTCTTACAAAAGCAGCTTCCCTCTCCTCCTTTTACTTGGTGTTCAAAAGTTTGTGCTGTGACGTCAGTGCAAGGAGCCTATACGTGGCTTGCACATGACTTCATTTCCGATGCCCTCCAGAGAAAAGGGGAAGAAGGAACTCCCCTCTTATCAGGATCCTCTTTTGTGACTCCCGGATTTGCACAGGCGTCGCTATTCTCCTCCCAGAAGATTATAGAAGATTAACCTATCACTCGAAATTCTTACAAAAGCAGCTTC